TGTCCATAATGGGTATCTTTTGTTTTCTTGGTTATAGAGGAAGATAAGAGAGCCTTCTTCGCCTATAATACACACTATATTCCGGTGGTGAGACTAACTTGAATTTAAAACAGTGCAACCTGAACACAATGCATAGATACCAGAATCTTTAGTTACCAACTGTGACTTTTCACTTGTGGCTGCAGTTGCTGAGATGAGACCGTGTCCAATGATCACAGGAAATAGTCTGGTGTTCTTCGGGTTACGTCTGGTTCTCCTCTCCTTGGTGCGGGTTCAAACTGCATTCACAGTTTTATACTTGAGTTAGTTTTTTCCATCTACACTAATTTCAAAATAGCAGACAATACATGTGGGGTTTAGGACAAGACCTGAATGAAGGTGTGGTTCCTGCAGTCATCAACCTCAAGAATCGAAGCCATGTTCCCACATCGGTAACAATAGTTTGGTGCACTGAAGATAGTTACCACCTTTTGCTCCTATTGACAGGGAAAACGTACAAAAGTGAGCAAAAAAACTTAAGCCTTGCAAAGCTATGGAAGGAGTACAGAAGGGTTGAGTTAAATTGTTACATGAGCCCAATTGTATCCATCCATAACCAGCTGATGGGCACGGGCGATCAGCTTTAAGTTATTTGTGTGATTGAACTGTTCGGATATGTCCTATGGAAACAAAATGAAAAAAAAAAGACAGAATCAATTAGACACTTAATTTACGGAGAGAGAGCGAGAGAGACTAAGACTTGTAAATTACCTGACCAAATGTATATCCAGCACCACGAGGAGAGATACCCCACCCACAGCGGTCATCAGGATCAGACCATAATAAGTCACACATTGGCCCTTCATGGGGTACTTCTTGAACTCGATCAAAATTCCTTATATTGTCAAGGGTCTCGATAGATGGAGACAATCCACCATGCAGACAAAATATTTCTGACTCAACCTGCAATGGAATAACATAATGTTTTGATGATACCAAAAGTAATGTGTAGAAAAAACCATCGGTTTAGTCAGATAAATCATACATGTATCTTCCATTCTTTGTATTTTTCAGAATACTAACGTCTTGCAATTGATGTGACACTAGCAAAAGAAATACGACAGCACAATACAAAAATAATTCTTTGGTTAAAAAGAATACCACCAGCACAAGACTACAGACTGATCATCTAAATTAAAATGACTACAGGTAACAGGACTAGAATGCTCATGTGAACCCCGACTGTCAATAACCAAGGTTGTGAAATATGATAGGCACTAACCAAGGCTGTCAATGGGAAATAGTCGAAGAGGTCGGTAAAGATTTTCCAAACATTTGCGTTGCCATACCTGCAAGCAAAGCAAGCTTTATTTAAAAAATTGCAAAATCAACAACCAAAATAGTCAAATGCATTTCTAAGTAGAGGTTAATAAGCTGCAAACTCGGATTTGTAAGATAATACAATATAAGAATAATGTTGTTATAAGTAAGTAATCATAAGCCTGAAGGATTAACAAAAACAGTTAGGACAGACTACCACACACACCATTGTAGCATCTGGATAAACAAGGACAAGTGTAATGCTAATGATGATAAAATTTACTTGCATGCATCTACAAATTAATAATTTTTACAGAAGACTTACTTTCGCAGACATTCATCATAAAATCCATAAACTTGAGTAATCTGCCAGACGGAAGAAAAAGAAGGAGATCCTGTGTCAGATAAAAAGTAGGATGACAGAACAGTACTAACCAATAAACCAATGAGCATTTTAGAACCAAGATCCAACGATGGAAAAGGGATTGGAGAGACAATGTCGTACTGTATTTTGACCTCAGAAGGTGAATTTACAAATGGAAACAGAATAAAGCATTAGTCTACCTGACGACTTTCATGGTTTCCTCTAAGAATAGTGATTCGCTGAGGATATCGCATCTTTAAGGCGACTAACAGCTGTAAAGAGGAAAAAAAAAAGGAGAAATAGTATCAACACACTTCATATTCCAACCCCAAATACAGACATTGAAGCAAAATTATACATCATGCAAACAGTATACTATCATTTAACAATATAAAAAGATAAGGAATGGTTTGCCATTTAATCAGACAACTCTTAAATGAAAAAGGTAAGTCTCCATATTTCATCCTCGTACCGTAACAGTTTCAACGGAATAATAACCACGGTCCACATAGTCTCCCATAAACAGGTAATTGGTATCAGGGCACTGCAAAAGAGCAAAAAATGAATATTCGTGAGATTTGTGGAGCTATGTATACATGGGTAACCAAAAATCAGAACAAGAGCTCAAATGCATGAAAAGTGTAATTCATAGACAAGATGGATGCTGGAAAAAAAAATAAGATTTATAGATGTTACCATTCCTCCAATACGGAAAAGCTCTGCAAGATCATGAAACTGTCCATGAATATCACCACAGATTGTCACAGGGCTTTTCACAGGCTGCATGAAGGAAAGAGTTAATAATGACTCTTCTTGGAGACAATAAAAGGTAAAGAATGGTGTCATGGCTATTAGCACAATCTACAACATTGAAAAAAAATAATCGCCAAGAGGCGATGAAAGATTTACTCAGCCAAATAGAGATGCACGACCAAGGACTAACCTGAACGTTGCTTTCATCCATTAAGATCTCCTTTGCCTTCTCGCATAATGCTCTAACCTAAGGAAAAATAAAATAAAAACACTATCAAATACATGACTTGAAAATGTATACTTGGAGAAACCAACTTGACACATACTACAATCAGGGAAATCAATCCCAAAAACAAACCCCTACAAGTATTGATCAGGTTTTGGCTGATACAAAAGGTTATTTATTGAGTTGCAAAGACTAACTTCCTTTTACTTTCGGTTTTTTTTGCTCTAATTGAACGCTAGTAATGCAGCTAACTGATCATCTACATCAAATCACTAACTACATAGCAAGAAATCTTAACGCAGTCTAGGAGAATTCCGATGCTCAGAGGAACCCACATTACCAGGCACATAAAAACACGAGCTTAGATGTGGTTAACGATAATCACTTTATGTTAAGAATCCAATGCATCCAAAAATCATCATCAAACCAAAGCCAATACTCCAACCCATAAAACTGCCGTGAAAATGAACACATACGTCAAGATCTAACATTTTCCCTGAAGATCTTCATTTGAATAAAATCGAAAAAATTTCCAAATCGAATCCAATAATCGCATACCCC